CCCAACAATCGCCGCATTCGGACCCTCTGCAAGCATTTAAAAATAGACAAATCTGAGATTTAAATGTTAATAACATTTGAAATACAAAACAAAATTCCAAGGAATGATGATCACGAAACATTCTAATGATTTTTTATCTGCGAAAATTATAAATAGGTGCACGTCATGTTTAAATTATTTCTAATAAATTAACAATCAATTATATTTTTAATGCAAAGATACTTAAAACTTACACTTTACATTTTTTCAATAGAAAAACAAAATTAATCCTCTCCTAATAATATTACAACACTGTGTATGTACTTATTCATGATAAAAAAATGCAATGCGTCGTATTTCTAAAAACAAAACTTTAATTCGACAGGCGCCTTCAAATTAGAGGGCGTGGCGCAGTTAGAAGGGTAATGGACCGATTATTCCGTTACACGGTGATCGACTGATTAAAATCTATGCTAACTTAATAAGGAGGAACGAAAAATACCGTTTTTAGACTTGAAATCTTAACGTGAATGAAAACGTAGTTTGTGTGGAATAAAGTCATGTTAGACGTTATATGGATAAGGACATAGCTATTATAATTCCAATAACATGTGTAAAATAATATAGAAATAACTTATATCCGTAATACGTGATGTTTGTTTCTTAGAATAAGTTTTAAGTAGTTACGACAAACGTGAAATAGCATTCCCCGAATGATAACATTTTATGGGTTGAACAAATTGAGCGTAACAGAAATGCGTGGCTAAATTAAAGGTAGCATTTGCTGGGTGGCGGTCTTTTATGGCCGACTTGTGTGTTCCTCGGGACCCGATTGTTTTTTCTAACGCAACGAATCGAATCAAAGTTATTAGCCCGACGTTCTCTTAGCGTTCGATTATCTACATTCAATGTTATTATCTATAACGTTAACTTGGATTAAAGAAGGAATTTTCTCGATCCTTTCTTCCGTTTTATTATCTTACTTGTATATTTGGTATTACGTGTAATCCTTTTTATTGATAAGTCTTTGTAGGAATGCGGTACAAAATTAATAGATTTTTTTAACTTTTACATTTGCTTGGACTAAGGGGCAAGATGAAGACATAATTTAAAACATAAATATAATAACTTTCTTTCCCTATCGTGAAAAGAATTGGCAAAGAAAAAAATAACATTTTTTTTGAGAATGCTTAATATTTTTTTGTAATTTTATTATTTTATTTAACTCTTATCAGCCGAAATAGCTCAGTTGGGAGAGCGTTAGACTGAAGATCTAAAGGTCCCCGGTTCAATCCCGGGTTTCGGCAGAATATTATTTTTTTTATTTTTCTTGCCTTTAGTCCTTTAGTAGTTAGTCATACTTCATACTAATATTATATATGCGAAAGTTAAGATGGATGGATGGATGTTTGTTAGAGCTTGTAGCCTAAACGGCTGAACGGATTTCGGTGTAGATGGAGACGATAGTCTGGAAGAATACATAGGCTATTTACGTTTGTTTATTTTAATTCCAAGCCGAAGAAGTCGCGGGCGAAAACTAGTTAATAACAAAACACATTTTTAAAACATTTCTTCTTTTCAAAACAGAACCTTGAGTCACATGTAACGTTTCATTACTTTTATTACATTTTTGTAACAAAGAGCCGTTTTATTTTATTGTTAAGTTAAGGACCATTTCAATGGAAATACCAACATTAAAAATAAATAAACGAAACCGGGGATTTCCTCGCGTGTAAGACAATTGATATTAAAACATTAACTACTTGTCCACGGGTTATAGAAGTAATATATCGAAATAAAGATTGCTGAAAAGATAATCACAGAAAAAGATTAACCTAGGAGACGAGCGACCTCATAAGACGAGCGGCATACATGGTTTGTCGGTACCACCAGTCCATCATTGTCTACCTATGTTAAAAAAGTCGATATCTATCTACATATATCTATACTATAATATTATAAAGAGGAACGATTTGTATTTTTGGATGTTTGTGTAACTTCGATTAACGTAAAAACTACTGGACAGATTCCAAAAATTCTTACACCAGTAGAAAGGTACTTTATCTGTGAATTATATAGGCTATATTTTTTTTTTATTTCACGCAGGAGAAGTCCCAAGCAACATCTAGTCTCTCATAATTGTGAATGCATAAATCACGGCACAAATAAACGTAACAATTACAATCAATTCTCACTTAATTAAATCTCATGCCAGTTATTTTCTCAGTCCACAGATACCAGTACTTCAGTACTGGCGAGCAATGAATCAAATTGTTAAACGGTAATTACTACACCACGCCGTGTTCAATGAAACTTATTTCAATTAGAAGTTCGCGAGATGAGCCACGCTATGCTATTACCTGCCTTTATTTCGTTATTTATTTCCTTGCAAGTGTGGATTGGATAAATGGACGATAAAGAATGCAATGAATATGATTTACCAAAGGTTTTGTTATTTTGTATTGCAGATGCAACAAATGATATTGCTTAACACATTTGACAGAAATACAATTTCCCGTCTTATATTTTGACTACAGAGATACAATTGGGCGACATGAAACAATTGAATACTTATCGATATCAAAAATCTTCACAATATGCACCAAAAACGCATCAAAAATGGCCACGTAATATGTAATGCAATTTGTCAAACTAAAATGTGTTACATTTAAAAAGAATGTTTTACTTTCTTATCTTAAGACGAGGATTTGTCCGACATACGTCGTAGACCCTGAACTTTATGCTTAATCTGCATAATTCAGAAGATTTAGTATGCAAAAAGTTTTTGACGTCAAATGATACAAAATCTTTTTGAGATAAAACAAACGGATAATCAAATACATGTTAAAATATATAAGAAAAATCTTAGTATAATAAAAATTCAAGTGTTAATGTCATCATCATCATCTCCCCTACCTTATTTACTCCCGTGGGGACGACGCACCGGGTTTTGGTTCTCTAAATAACTATCATCTGTAATCTCAGTCATCGCTCCCTGCTTGTACCTACAAAAATAAAGTACATTAACCGAATGTAATTAGTATTCTTAAAACATAGGTAACTTTGTCAAAATATGAGTAACATACTCACGTGATACCATCGAAGAAATTGAAGGATTCGATACTCTGCAAATTGAAACCAACCAATCCAACTTGGTCTTGGTCGCATTCATGTAAACTTTAATACTATTTTCCATTTGTTCCCCATCACGTAATATTTCCAATGTGACGTTACCAACAGAATCGTCAGTGATGGCGGCGGTTGTAACGCGTTAATTACTTTGCACGTAACATTTGCACTGTCTTGACAATTGTTTGAATCTTTTCACTTTTTTAGTTCATATGTCAATTTTACTCTAATTCAATCTAAAACTTACAGTACCCTACCGACTGCACATTGTAAAACGTCGGAGCGATTAGGTAGACGGAGTGACGTATTAACTGATTTATTTTAAAGTACCTACCTATTTACTTATTTTTTTTAATAACAAAATCTGACAATTTTAATACTTGAACTATATAAAATATGTTAATATAAGTTGGTAACTAAGTTATTAAAGTTTTTGCGATGTTACATACTTTGAGTAACTGAATATTTTTATTCATGTCCAGTCTATATGTATGTGAGTTTCCCGCTTGTTTTCTGTTTAATTAATTTAAGTGGATAGATATTTTATCTTAACCATTATCCTATGAATTATGTATTAATTGCATGTATCATAACTACCAACACGAAGGTTGGCATTAAAATAGTTCCTAAGGAACATCCCGGTCGATTTATTCACACGGAGGCACACTACTTACGGCAACGAAAATAATTACAGGCCATCATCGGCTATTAAATAAGCTATATTACCCGCGTAACTCAATACCCACTAATTGTTGCTGCCTGTATAATCGAGCACGCTTAAGTATTATAATAAATTACCTACTTGAGACAGCGAATACCTAATCTTTATCTCGTTTTTAACGAACTATGCCATGTAGTATTTTAAACACCTGATTTGTAAAGATTTTATTAGCCGTTTAATATGAACAAAATTGTTGAAATTAATAGACTGGACCGTGTGTTCTGTCTAATGTAATACTACATTAACGTGTTAATATATCGGGCATAAATTTTACGGTAAATCTAATTAATTTATATGTTGAGTAACAAAATGGATGATAATATGCTAAAGAGGTATAACCCGTTTTCGTCATCAATTATAGGCAACTTTTCAACGCGTCTTAGAACCATATCACATTATAATCCAGACATAAATTAACCTGAAATTCCTACAAATTGATAACGCGCTTGGACAGACAAGGCGCTGTTTTAATTTCGAGGTGTAGTCGCGTGGGCGTGGCGGCGCCACTGCTCCGAAGAGGTTATATTGTATGCTAATTTCATACGATTTCGAATAATAATTAATAGTAAAAAGAAATAATGACATGGAAGCGGCTCCTCTGAACACCGTGACGGGTGCGTTGCTAATAGCTGTTTATATTGTGTTCGGTACTAACTAGGACCTCATCTGTCATGATAGTAACTAGATCCTTACAATTGTACCGTTAACCGACCACACGTTTCATCTTAAAGGGATTTCTTTAATTAAATGTTATGATTTTTGCTAGGGTACTTTCATAAAAAAGCCCTACATCAAAACACGCTTTAGGCTATATATTTTCAAGTTATTAAACTTAGGCGGTAAATACTGGAAAAAAACGTCAAGCGAAAAAGGGACAAAATCTACCACCAAAAGCACCAAAAAAGAGTGTTTTCTTAAAGCTAAAACTGCGACAGATCTTCCTTGTCAATTTTCAATTTGAATTTTAACGTTTTCAATAATTTTATTTCTGCATGCAAAGAATAACATAAACTTTATTTGTGTGACAAGAGGTAAAAAAAATGTTAATACAATGATCACAATATAAAGAAAATAATTTAAAAAGTACTAATCGTAATCGATTCACGCAATGCTGCCACTTCATGCGCAGAATTTTTATAATCTATGGCACTCTTGCACAAGAATTTGGAAGATGTCAAATTAAATTCAAATGCGATGGGAGATTTTAATTCCTTTTCTATTGTAAGTGCAGTAAGTGTAAATTTAGTTTTAGATTTTAAATCATTGTTGGATAATGCATCATTTTTGATTTATTCGCTATCATAAATTTGTGACAGCAAAACTGTAAGTATAAGAACAATTTATTTTGCTATATTTCGTAATAAAAATTAAGTGTAATAGTTTACATATTGCAGGTGATAAGAAGTATTATGAAATTAGTGAATTAACAGGCAAATCATGTCGCGGATCCAGCTAAAAGATTAAACGACAATATGAATGAACATAACCTCAAAGATTGTTAATAAATGTGCAGTTTTATAATAGTGATACGACTACATAAACTGTTATACACTATAACTGAATATTTCTACAAGTAAAAGGTATGTAAGTTAAATTTAGAATATTTTGTCGTATATTTTATGTAAGATTTATTAAATTATCTGTATATTTTGTTAGTCCGTAAAAACAAAAAGATTGTGATAATGTTTTATTAACAGAAGGAAAAAACATTAGAAAAGCAAAATGTAATGTGTGTTTTTTTTTCTAGATTTCAAAAACAGTTAATACATAAGAATCTCTGAAGAAGTATTCTAGAATTCATATGATATATCCATACAAGTGGAAGAAATAAAAATTAGATTCTGCAAGGGAAAGTATAGTGCTCAGCTCCAGTGTAGTGATTGGCAAGTAATTTTTTCCTAAATATTGATAATTTGTACTCAGCTAGTGAATTATAAAAGCACACAATTACGTTGTTACTTCGTATCACGTATCACTCTTTTGTTTCGAGTCTAGAATTTTTTTTTATTATATTTTTAATTTGGTGTATTGTTGATGGCCAGTCTTACAATCAAATTATAACGTATTAATATTAATTAACGTCCTTTTATGTTTTAAATAATATAATTCTTATGCAATTTGAGCCTATTCTGTTAGCGCCATCTAGCGGTTGATGGCCGACATCATCAATTTAAATTTGAATGTAAATGCAGGCGTTTAGTTACGGCCGTGACTGCCAACTTTGCAACACCTGAAAATTAACTTCGCTCACAAATTATCTGTCTGTGTTTACATTGTTACAATGTACTTATGAATTATTCATCTACAATTATTGCTATTAATACCAAGAACTTGTGTGTGGTCTACGTAAAACGTTATGCTCTCTATAATTTTTATATTCTGGAAAGACAAAGATAGTATTTTCTGCCAGCATTTAAAACTTTATACCTCCTTACTTGATAAGTACAATTATTTAATTTTGTAAATTATATATGAAGGTGTAGAAATTCTTTGTTATGAAATTAATAGAATTCCTGGGTTATTCAAAATTAAATAATGGCAGTTAATCTATAAACAGGATATGTATTTATTACTAAAATACATAAAAATATACTGCTTATTGGTACAGGATCGCACAGAGAACATAGAAATTACAAAATATCTTTCAATGTTTAAAGAAATTGTAATTTAGTTTCAAATTGCTTTCACGAGGCGTTTGTTTTATCGTTCAGTTTAAATTATTTGTTCGTCAGTCGGTTCGTGACCGACAAGACGTGTTTGTTCATACAGACTTACTACTGCTTTACGCGCGGAATAATTCGTATCAAAATGTTTAATGCTTATTATTTATACGTGGAAATAATTATTGCCTTTAATGCTATTATACTGGAGTTTGATTCGTAAAAAATTGCATTATATCGCAAAAATTTATAAACAAAATTAAGTGAATTATCAGTTAGTCTGCAATTAACGGAATAAAAGCTATCGGTCGTTCGTCGCCTGCAGTTTCATAGAAAACGTAATAAAACAAAATCGGTAGTCCAATTAGTAATATTGAAATAAAGCGTTCCATTGGCATAATTTACCACTAAGTTTGATTGCTGTGGAATTTAAATATTCAAAATAATTTAAAGATAGAAAATCACATAATGCTATATCAAAACTAATATTGTAAAGAGGAAATAATTGTATTTTTTATGTATTGAAAGAACTCAAAAATACTGGGACGATTTAAAAAATACTATCACCATTAAAAAGCTAAATTATCAATGAGTAACATAGGCTATATTCTTTTTCTTCTTTTTAAACTTTTTAGACTTTTTTTTTAAATTTGACGCGAACGAAGTCGCGTGCAACATCTGTCTTATATTTTGTTAATACAAAACATGTACATCGACCGCTGTTAGACGCGTGCGCATCTTTTATCTGTACTATCTATACTATTAAAATAAAGCGTAAACACACACTTCTTTGTTGCCTAAGATGTCAGCAATTACAGCATATTTTTGAATAATTCTCTTTAATAAAAAGGTCTACACTTACGTCACGCTTTAGGCTATATATTTTCACGCCATTAAACTTAGGGGGTAAATATTTAGGATAAAAACCCTAATGTGGGAAAGTGACCATAAGCTGCTGCCAACATCAAGGTTGCCATGGTTTGTCATCGTCATGTCAACAATAAAATTAAATTTTCATAAATTTATGCGGATGAAGTCGCACGGGAACAGCTAGCCAAACATGTTTTTATAATCACAATTTACGATACACGGATCAGGGTCTGCTACCGGTATCGAAATATTGATCCCAAGAATCACATTATTAAATTGTACATGAGGTTTATCCAATTTATACTCAATATCAAAATTAAGTAGCACACTTTTGAATTTTCGAGTCGATCGCTATATTAAAAGTTTTACAGTTACATACTCAATGTTAGTTACTAATTATTAAATGTGTAGTAAATCAAAAATCTTCATAGTGCATATGTATTTTTACTCTTTGTCTATTTGTATCACGCGCGGAATACTTTTCTAAAAATACATTTAAAGTTGCATTTAAAATGGTACATCTTATTCACTTCATTGGATGTTATCTATGCTAATAGTGATTGTGCTTGCTCACATACAAAATATTCAGAAAAATCGTATCTTACATCCATTAGCGCCTCATATCGTATGCAAATTGCAGACAAGCCGAACACTACAATTACCATCGCGACCGTCGATTTCTCTTAATTTTTCGATTCACATTTTCCTTCATTTTCTTTCTTATCTCTATAGTTTACGATCGATGTATAATGTACACGGAGACGAGGTGATGATTTTGGGTGGTCCGACTTTAACGTAATGATGTTATTATTTATATGGAATTAATGGCGTGGCCTCACTTCAACTGTCTCATCAAGATAAGTGCGCATTGAACGAGCACTCATTAGTACGTTATCGTATGAACGATTCACTTTTAACGTTTATCTCTGTTCAGATATTTCGATTTGATTGTCCTCAAGAGCTGCCGGTGAAATTCTGTACGTCTTCTATGTCAATTATAATTCAGATTAATAATAAATTAAATTATATATTTTGAATTAGAGTTTACTGAAATGGGACAGTAATGGTTTACTAAGTTCCTACAGTTACTGAATAAATTTTCATATTAAAATTAAAATTAAAAAAACCCGATAAGCTCTAGTTTTTCCCCAATTATCATTACTAAGACCAATTTAATAATATTTAGTGTACTAAAGCAATTTAATTATTAAAAAACAAAATGTTTTTCTTACGAAAATTTCAGTTATCGCAATGTAAAATGTTCCCTGTTATCCAAATCATGATAGATGTTAGAATTCTTGCTTACTATTAATAGTAAATTGTTTACATTAATGATTTTAAATCGATCTTTATTACGTATATCATGTACGTTATTATCTTGATGCGTGACTGAAAAGATTACTGATCAAAAGATATTATTGTTGATATCTACAAAATTAATAATGTTATCGATTTAGATAAAACGATGCTTTTGCTAATAATTCCACAGTACACTATTGTTTTGTCTATTTTTTGTTTTATCAAAACTAACCAAGATAATCTCTGATTATAAATACATTAAGTTTTATTTGCGGTTGCAGTTTGAATTTTAATTTAAATTAAATCAAACACTTCAACAATGATTGTAGAAAAAAAATATTACACCTATAACAAATTAATTTATTGCATTGTTTTCAATTGTAATGCTTTTTTATAACTTCCTAGCTGTTCCAGTGCGGCTTCATCCGCATGAAATATCAAAATTCAAATGCACAAATGAAAATTGCTGCCTTGATGTTGGCAGCAACTTATGGTCTCGTTCCCACGTTAGGATTTTTATCCAAAATATTTACCCCCTAAGCTTAATGGCGTGAAAATATATAGCCTAAAGCGTGACGTAAGTGTAGGGCTTTTTATTAAAAGAAGAACTAATCAAAAATATGGTGTAATTGCTGAGATCTTAGGCAACAAAGAAGTGTGTGTTTACGCTTTATTATAATAGCATAGATTTGTTTAATTAAATGAGTAATTTTTTTCAAACCTTGTGAAAATCACATTTAATACAAGATTGTGTAAAATTAAAGGAAAAGGAGTAAAAAAAATTAGCATCCAAATTCATATTTTTTGCTCAACGTTCTATATAACCGTAAGCATTTAAGGGTTAAACAATTTGTATTATAAAAATACAAGAGCAGAACGATAGCAGTGACGTAAGTAAACATATAATTGGTATAGTCGTGGGAACTGTATGTTTGTCCGCGTGTCGGTCTCCTCGGCCAACAACTAAACACTCCACGTCTTTTGTCCGAAAATGTAATGGGAATAGATAAATAAGGACGAGGACACTTCTCTGAGAATGGCGCTACAAATAGAAAGGAAGAAAGAGATTTTATCTTATATTTTCTCTTCTAATTTTTATTGGTAATATAAATGAATAACAAGTACCTATCATATTCACATAAAACAGTTTATTGGCTAGTTACTTTATAAAAATCCTTATTTAATTTAACATTACAAACATACATGCCTATTACATACACAAATAATAAATTTACACTAAAGGACTCCCTTGACGATTCTGAGTACGGCAGTAAGTAATACCAAAAATTAATCAGCCCCGTTTAAATCTTAAATTGAAAACTAATAACCATATTAATTGAATCAAAAATAGAGCATTAGCGTGTAAATAGAATTTTTACTTTTAATATCTAGCCTTTCATTCTAACCGGACAAGTCGGGCACATAGCATATCCGCAAGGGAACGTAATGGACTTGTAATACCCGTCGACTTCAAACATACTAGTGGCGTTAAAAGGACGAACGGCTAACACAATACCAATTTCTTTTCATGGTCCAAGTAGTAGACGGAAGAGGTTGTAGTAAGTGAGACCCAAAAATCGTAATCATTGAGGTATTAGTGTTTGATTATGCTTTTAACTTATGATCCATCGTGACCGGTAGTAGCCTGAACGGTTTGATCAACATTGAATGTTGGACGTCATTTGATTTCTCCAAAGTAATGTGCGTATTTTACATTAAAATGTAATCGAACAGAAATTGATTGATAAAAAAATCAACAGTTAAAGAATATGATTGTTAAGTATAGGAGAGGTGCAAACCTACATAACTTGTTGACTAGAGAAATCGGTTTTATTGTTATTAAGTACATGCAAGGACCTCAATTCGCTACCGCTTATCTTCCACACCACTCGACTAGACAGTGGACGTTAAATATTTACCAAGTGGAGTATTTTTTGTCAAGCCCAAGTGGAAGGGTTGAATGGCTGAGGGTGTTTGTAGAGACGCGGCAACCTTCACGGTGGAATTTGGTAAAATTGTGCCGCTAAACAATATGATAATGGACCGCCCTTTGTCACT